CTCTCTCTCTGTGTCTCTCTCTCTCAAAAATAAACATTTAAAAATGTTTTTAAATAGGGGAAACATGAGTTTTTATTTGTACTTCTGTCATTTCCAGTGTTCTTCATTTTTTGTGTGTATGAGTGTCTCTTAGTATCGTAATCCTTCTGCCTGAAAACTTCCTCCATCATTTCTTGAAATACAGGTCTGCTGGCAATGATTTTCTTTTATTTTAATTTGTTTAAAAATCATCTTTGCTTTAGTTTTGAAAGATATTGTTGCTGAGCATTGAAGTCTGTTGAGGTTGACCCTTTCCCCCTTCAGTCCTTCAAAGATGTTGTTCCATCATCCTCTGACTCAAATAGTTTCAGAGGAGAGGTCAGCTGTCATTCGTGTCTGTGTACCTCTGGGTGTGGTATGTTTTTCTGTCTGCCTCCACGGTTTCCTGTTTGGTGTTGAGCAGTCTGAATATGATATGTCTAAATGGAAGTTTGTTTTTTTGTTTTTTGTTTTTGTTTTTAATGTTCATTTATTTTGAGGGAGTGAGATAGTGCGAGCAGGGGGAGGGGCAGAGAGGGAGGGAGACACAGAATCCGAAACAGGCTCCAGGCTCCGAGCTGTCAGCACAGAGCCTGATGCGGGGCTCTAACCCACGAACCGCGAGATCATGACCTGAGCCGAAGCTGGACGCTCAACCGACTGACCCACCCAGGCGCCCCTAGATGGAAGTTTCTTTGATTGTTTGTTTTGGTATTTAATCTCATGGCTGTTTAACGGATATTTATTGTGAACTGGTAGGTCCCACTGCTACTCCATCACCAGTGTCCATACAGGGGCTGAGGACTTAGGGACATGTACTGCCCTCCAGGAACTCTGCAGAAGGAAGACAAGATAGGGTGGTAACCAAGTCAGTAAGTGGAGCTGAGAAGCAGATGAGAGGAAGCTAAGCGGACTCACTGCTTTACATTCCGTGTGACTCTGTCAAATGCTCCTAACTAGGACTTTAAAACTGAAAATTGTTTTTTCCATGAGACTGGTCAGATCTGGGCTGAAACATGTCTCCAGGGACAATATGCAAACGTGCTGAGATGTTCCTCACCTGTTAATACAAGACCGGCCAGGGATTAAGGTCTAAGTCTTTTCTCCTTCCCAGCTGGAAGAGAAGACGGAGAAGAACTTGGGAGAACCAGGCTCTTCCGCCGACAGCAAAGGGGCCTTCAAGAAGGAGAGGGAGACGCACCAGAAGCTCCTCGCCGACAGTCACGGCCTGGTTATGGACCTGCGTTGGCAGATCCATCACAGCGAGAAGAACTGGAACCGGGAGAAGGTGGAGCTTCTTGACCGTCTAGACCGAGACCGGCAGGAGTGGGAGCGGCAGAAGAAGGAGCTCTTGTGGAGAATAGAACAGGTAAGGGAGCGCGAACAGGGAAGAGGGTACAGACAACTAAAGTGACCTGGAAATCGGAGCACTTAGGGGAAAAAAATAGATCAGCCTATTGCGAGGTCCTTACTACATCAGGATGTTCCACGGGCTTCCAAAGGAAGAGGAAAAAATAGCAGAATTTCTAGTGCGGGAGATCCAGACTGGGCCCTGCTAGTACACAGATCTCATCACAAAGCTTGTGAGTAACTTCCTTGTGTGTATACGTGTGGGAGGTCTGTGGTCAGGGCTGGGGGGGTGAGTGGCATTTTAAAAGAAGTTAAAGACTAAACTTGAAAGATGAGGTTATTTCAGGTCTTATTAGGTGATTCCTGCAAGATGCAAACTACCTTTGAAGTTGGCCACTAAAGATGTGGTCACAGTCACTGCTCCAACTTGAATGGAATTGCTGTCCATTAGGAAAGAAATTGCTGAATTAAGTTGGAAATCAGGCTGTTTGCACCTGCTGTGGATCTTGCTGAGCTGTGATTAGGTAGGACCGTAGTCGGAGAGGGAGCTGGTAGTTCATTGCCTTCAGCTAAACAAATGATTCCAACACCCAGATGAATTCAGCGGGGGATGGGGAGTTGTTTTTCTACCTTCCAGATAATAGAAAATAAGTCTACATTGCGTCAGACTTAGGACGCTTTGCATAGTTGGGGTCATGCCTGAGTGATGCACAAATTAAATTTTCTCATTAAACTGATGAAGGCTTGGAATTCTTCCCTGGATGGAGTTTTACATAGCATATGTGTATTTTTTTTATTTATTCCAGCCAGGCACACTTATAAATTTATGAAGCCTCAAGGAAACGTATTAATCAATAGGAAACCAAGTTCAGGAAAAATAACATTACTCTATTACAAATACCCATACTGCTGGCATTTATGTGGGAGCCTTTTGAAAACTGTGCTCTATCATTCCAAGATGTGGTACCTGTGTTATGCAGGTGCAATGGCCAGGGTTAGTTTCTGTATACTGTCCGGGTGGGAGAGAAGGTGAACGAGCTAAAAAAAAAAAATAAACAAACCAGGAGCCCTTGGCTCAGAAAGCGTTGAGAAGAGGGGCACCTTGGTGGCTCAGTCGGTTGAGCACCTGACTTCGGCTCAGGTCATTATCTCATGGTTTGTGGGTTCAGCCCCCGCGTCGGGCTCTGTGCTGATAGCTCAGGGCCTGGAGCCTGCTACAGATTCTGTGTCTCCCTCTCTCTCTGTCCCTCCCCCACTTGCACCCTGTCTCTCTCTATCTCAAAAATAAATAAAACTATTTTTTAAAAAATTTTTAAAAAGCATTGAGAAGAAAGCACAGTGCAGATAAAAAGGAGCAACAGTTCCTCCCAGATCTGATTACGCACACAACTGAGCCACCATACTGATATCTGATGTGGTTGCTTTCAAAATTCCCCAAATTCTATCAAAGGAAAGGTGACCACTTCCTGTTTAGCCTAGAAATGCATCATTTGAGAAGAATCTTCTGCATTAAATCCCCTGTGTGCCTGTGCTCTCCTGAATGGATCAGCTGTTAGGTGGAAATGGCAAGAGCAAAAATAGCATGTATTCTTGCAAAACGGTCATTGATTTATCACATCCAGCTTCAGGTAACCAGGATCTCCGTAACTCCAGGCACCTTGTTATCAGAGAGGTTCCCTCTTGGCCTGTCCCACCTGTACCACAGTAAGGCCGTCACGATCCCTGCCATGGCCCCTCTGGGGTCCCCTTTGGCTGTGAGCTATGGGCTCCTTGGTCTTGGCATTGCTGCTTTTTAGAAGTCACACCCTGGCTATCATTTAAACAAGCTGTTAGGGTTTTACTTGGAGGAAGGAAGAATTCCTAGTGAGGGAAAATATAGTAAGACATCTGATGATATTGAGCTTTTGAAGAGTTCGTGACCAGAGAAGTGCAGGTGCCCCATTTTAAGAAACTGTATTTTGAAAGATAAAAGCGGGCATGTGCTTGCTGAACCCCATTTCCGACTCACGTCCGTATTCCGTGTCAGGACCGCAGCAGACCTACCAAGCCGACAGCCTCAGAACTTCAGTCCTCAAGGTTAACGTCTCTGGACGTAATGGATGCAAGACACATGGGTTCCAGGCAGTCATCTGTTCCTGAAATCTGTGTGGTGGCTCCCACCGGCTTTGTACAATGATCTCACTGCTGTTTTTAGAAGAGGATTTGTTGCCAGTGAATGATGCTTCAGATATGCGGTTGTGGCTTTCAAAAATAAATCTGGCCTTTTCCCACAAATAGTCAGCATTTTAAAAGACAATTTTATAAACCTTGGTGCCCAATCCTGAAAATTAGATAAAGCAGTTATAGGCGTTCTCCGTAAAAGAGGAAAGTGGCTGAAGTGTGTGTATGCGTGGAAGTTTTGTTTATCATTCATTGAATTTTTAGCCCCGCATTCCATAGATAAACAAGAAATAGAAGTGAACATTCTTCATAACGTATGCTCTTGACATTTGACTACTTGGTGAGCCACGTAACCTTGACTGTGATCACCCTAACACAGTTGGTGAAGGAAGTGACACTAAATCCATTTTCCACTTTCAGAACACATGCTTCATACTCGTCCGGTGTCATTAAATTCCGACATAATTTCTGTGCCACATGAGGCATTTTATATGATGGATGACTGTGGGAATGTGGTTAAGGTCATATAACACATATCATCTATCTTATCAACGTCTCTTGTCCCGGTCCAGATTTGACTGGGTGATAGTTAACTTTTATGGAGTCACACTACATTTCTCCTTAGAATTAAGTTCCCAGTTAACACGCAGATGATATAGGACCCGCCGCTGTACTAAAGACCTAAAGGAAGGACCCTGTGTCGTTCCGTTCTCCTTCCAGTAACTTCCTTAAATCAGCTGCTTCTACACCCTGAAAGGCCATTCTTTTGAAACCTGCTCACAAAGTGACCTTTTTTTCCTTTGACCATTTGGGTAAGGTGACACCTTTGAAGGTTTATTGTTTCCTGTATTACTTGAAATGCAAAGCTTTTCCGTTTTCTATTTGCACTAAAAGTTGTCCTGCTGCAGGATTCTAAGTACAGTAGGTGCTGATGGCTGGTTTGAAATGACTCTCCTAGGAAACCCGATCCTTTTAAGGACCCATTATTCTATTACAACACCCCAGAGGCATCTTACAGCAGATACCTCCCGCTAAACCCATTCCAGTTCATTTTTAGGAAACCTAACACTTCCCAGCTTTAGTATACATTGCTTCTGGCCGCCTGGGTTTATTTTTGAATTCCCACTTTGCTGAGTTAGAAATGTGCTGGTTCAGAGCTCTCCTCCTTAGTCATTCTTTCCTCCCCTTCACACACACCCGCGGAGCACATTTACAGCTTCGAATGTGATTCTTGTGTTTTAATTCTCACCCAGAATAGCTTAGGGATGATCACGTGTTGAAACTCAATTGCGCTGACATGCGTTAGATGAATAAAAAAAAAAAAAGCTTTCCTTTTTTGTTGTTTTGTTTGTTTTTTGGTTTTGGGTTTTTTTTTTGTTTTTGGGTTTTGGGTTTTTTTTGTTTTTAAAGAAAATGCTAGCATCTTTAAGAGAACTGAGAAGAATTGTGTCTTGGGGTTGAGAGCACAGGGGCGTAGCTGAAACCCAGAGCGATTGGCTTGTTCGCTAATTCAGCTGTGACCCGGCCTCAGACTCTTGACATTTAAGCTCTGGCTACGTGCATCTCCATCTTTCTCAGAAACTGAAGATAATCCACCGCCTCAGAAATTACTAAAAATGAGGAAGAGTCCCCTTGTCCCCATTCTCGCACGTGACTTTGTTCCTGACGATGCAGAAGCCACACATACCTCCTGCTCATGGATGAGGGCTTCAGTGAGGACCCAGAAGTGTAGCTGGTGAAATGGGCTGTTAAAAAAAAAAAAAAAAAAAATTAATGCTTCCAAGGGAGTTTTGGAACTTCCTGGCACCCTACTTGAGGACTGGAAATCTTTCTTCTTCGGAAAATCCAAATGTCACTTTCACCCTTCAGATAGTTTTCTTGTTCAGAACAGCAGCCAACGTGCTAGAGCGTGTGAGCAGGTCACCCAGCAAAGACCCCGGTGGAGACACGTGGGTGGAAATATCCTCAGGCCTCAGTTACGCTTTCTGCGCCTGTTTTGGAAGGAAGGCAGTGAGGAAAGCTCCAGAGAGTCCGGGGGGAGCCGTCTGTTAGGGCTTCTCCAGGGAGTGAGCACCATTTCTGCACACCATTTCTCTGCCTGTCACTGTGAATTCACATTGACTTCCTTCCTAAATGGCTCCAGGTTGTTCGTTCTAATGCCGTAAACAGGCAAGACGTGTATCAGTGCGCCCAGGCCTGAGCGAGGTCAGTGGTGGTTGTCTTGATGACAAGCATTGAGCTGTCCAATGGGCCTGGCCCCTGGTGGGCTCGCCTTTCTTGTGGCCCCTCCACAGCAGGAAGCCGTGCTGTCCCCGTTTCACAGATGACGACACTGAGCTGAGGAAACCAGCAAGGCACAGGACAATGGCTCCAACTCAGACCTCCCTAACTCCGGGGGTTCCCAAGTTTCTCAAGTCAGGCAAAAAAAAAGTATGGCTCTAAAGTATGTGACATATTTTTCTTGTTTTCAGTCAGATCCGATCTTTAATCGACTTTATAGCTAAGCTTTAACCCTCTCAAGCAAAGTGGAAGTTGCTTTTGACACCCAGTGGTTACAACCCAGTTCGATCACTTAGGTGACATAGGGGACTCATCCTAAATGACAGTATTATAATTAGGAAACCTGCTGGTTAGGAAAATCAAATTCAGCCTCAGAAATTTGCTGCCACTGATGGTTTTCCATTGAGTGTGCCTTAAGTTCTGAAGGTATAAAGGGAGTTCTAAATATGTCACTTAACAGTGTTCAATGTTTTAAATAAATGTATAATTTCTGTGAGCAGTTCGCCAAGTTATATCCAGTACTCCAAGTTACACATAGGAATATATATATTCTCGTCAGAAGGAGTTGGCTTGTGTGTATAGTTAATGCAGATTTTCCAGTCCGGATAAAATTGTGATTTTTTTTTTAAATAAAAGCATCTGTAATGTCGTGTTACTTTTGGAATTAGGGTCAGACCTTTAAGAACATATACTTCTCATAGTCTTTCCAGTGGCCCCAAATGTAATTCCAAACTGGGGAGAAGCAGTGGTCTTAGGGAGAGCAACAGAGGGAAAGGTGAGGCTAACTGCTTTCATTTTTAAAACGCTCAAGTTGCAGAAAGAAAACAGCCCCCGGAGAAGTGGCAGCTTCCTCTGTGATCCAAAAGAAGGCAACATCCGCCCCTTTGCCCACCCGGGAAGCCCCCGTATGCCCCGTCCCTTGGGGATGTGGCCCTGCGCAGACACAGACTCTACCCCATTTGAAGACCGGCCGCTGTCCAAGCTGAAGGAATCGGACAGGTGTTCAGCACGGGAAAATCTCTACTTGGACGCCTTGTCCCTGGATGACGAGCCAGAGGAGCCTCCGGCCCGCGGGCCCCAGCGGGAGTTCAGGAACTGCCTCCCCCAGGTCGGCTTGGGATTTGGGGTCCGGTTAACTGCTGCAGGACCCCGGGGTTGTCAGAAAACCTGGCCGTGGGGTCTGCAGTCTCCAGGGCTTTGCACATCGCAGCCTCTGGGTTGAGTACACAGGAAACGTTCACAATACCAAGAGCTTGGCTTGGTGATCCTGATACCAGGCTCCTAGCATGTGCTGTGGTCAGGTGCACTCTGCCACCGCGTCTCGGGTTTGAATGTGCAGGACTGTGTCCTCTGTGAATGAAAGGTCTCCCACGTGAGCAGGTCCAGTGAAACACAAGAGGAGACAGTTCAATCTGAGAACTATAGGTCTTCAGCCTCTCTTTAAATCATACCAGCCTTCTGATTCTAAACTTGCTGGTAACAGTAAAATCTGTTCTAAAGAAAGCACTCACATTGGGAACTAGTGAGTGTCACTAAACAATGACATACTATAAATTCTTGCTCTGTGCAAAGGGGAAGAAAAATCCAACACTTAGAAGCCATGCGTCAATTAGATCAGCAAATCTATGAGGTAAGCACTGGGCTGAAATTTCCCCGGTGCAGCATCAGGTTTTTCTGGTTACCCCTTTTCAAAACCTAGGTTTTAAAACCGGGTTTGATTTTAGGAATTAGTACGCGTGGGTCAGTTTAAGAGTTGCTGTACCTGTCATTGAACCTGTCCCAAACACTTAACAGACTTCAAAGAGTTCTCGTCAAGTAGTGTTGAAATGTGGGTCAGTTACACTTGAGTCAGGTGTCTGTGAGGTCAAGTACCTTCTCAGCGGTATGTAGCCAGGTGGCATGACATCACCAGTATGCCACCCTGTTTGATCTATCAGCAACCCCCGCAGTGCAGCCGCGCAGCAGAGAGAAAGCAGACCAGGGTCGGGAGCCTGCCCTGTCCCAGCTCCAGAGTGACCGCGGCCCCACATTGATGGGTACAAAGTGGGAGTCGTTGTAAGTTCACCTCTCATTCCGAATGGCCACGCTCACAATCAAGAAAGTGCTCACGCCTAAGGAGGTTGCATCAACTTCTACAGTGAGGCTTAGCCCAAGGGACATCAGTCTCCTAACTTCCTCTCTTGGGGCCCGATCTTCCCTTCGCCCACCTCCTCCTCTCTCTCTCTCTCTCTCTCTCTCTCTCTCTCTCTCTCTCACACACACACACACACACACACACATTCAGATGTATTCAGGTCATTACAAAAGCCAGCTTTGAAATTTACGTACTTAGAAGTCCTTTGAGGAAGCCCAGAAGAGCCACTTCCTTCACGGTGAAGTTTAAAGCCAGTTTTTCTCACACACACGGGCTCCTCCCTGGACTGCAGGAGCTCCAATCCCTCATCACCCTGTGGGTTCTGGTTTTATTGTCGTACCTCGAAGGGCTGGGGGGCAGTGGCTCTCCCGACCGAAATTTAGCACATCGAAGGTGCCTAGGCAGCCAGTATTAACTGATTCCGACGATCTTATTTTTTCTTTATAGGAAGAAGAAAATCACAAGGGAAATCTTCAAAGGTAAGTAAGCTTGATGAAAACAGTAGTTAGGCTACTGGAATGAAAACCTCTTGGTCTTAAAACTCTCTCTTGTCACTGCAGTCGTGATAACACGGTCTTCAAAATGACTTAAAGTAAGACTTCCGAATAAGTAGTGGCTTTATTATTATTGATTTCATCAATATGCTTCTTTTCTATCATTCACCACGGAAAAGCCAGAGACATGCTGTACTTGTGTGGGTGTTAGTGTCATGGTGAGAACGGTTACAGGTGTGCGTTGTGTATAGAAAGGAATGTTGTGTTCAGTGGGTTTGGAAAAGTCCACAGAAACCCCTCTCTTGTCATTTAGTCTGGAAAGACTCCCTCTTGATGTGCTGTGAGACATTTTATATACCGTGCATTTAAAGCTCTCCCAGGAGGATTTATTAAGATACTTCCTGGCCGTTGGGGCGCCTGGGTGGCTCAGTTGGTTAAGCGTCCGACACTTGATCTCAGCTCAGGTCTTGATCTCAGGGTCATGAGTTCAAGCCCCTCATTATTGGGCTCTTTGCTGGGTGTGGAGCCTACTTAAAAAAAGAAAAAAGAAAAAAGATATTTCCCAACAGTGAACTTTGAAGTAAATACAAAGTAAGTGATGTTGGTGACGTTAGTTATGATATATTTTAGGTCATACAGTGATAGGATGTATCTAGAACAACACATCCAAGCAAAATTTGTTTATTTTTAAACATTAAAAATATACAACTGTGCGGAAAGTTCAAAGATTTCCCGTACACAGCCCCCGCCCCCAGCCCCACACACACGCTTTTTCTTTATAGATGAATACATGCTATTTCCACCACAGGAAACTTCTCCCCAGGGCAGTTCGCAGTTTCCAGATATCCTCATCCCTGGTTTTCCTGTAAACTTCGAGTCCATGAATTATTGCCTCCTTCGCATTTTGCCCTGTATCAGTTCATCCCAAACCATCCAAGACCACGGAGGTGCCTTTCTGTCCTTCAGGCTCTGTCTCGTCCGGTCATTCTCGGACAGTCCAGGGCCGCATTCGAGAGTGAGAGCCTGGTTTCACATGCACTCCTGCCTCTCACTGGCTCTGTGCCCTGGGGTGCGTTAGGTAACTGCCTTGTGCCTCAGTTTCCTCATCTGTAAACAGGAGGTGTTTCAATTTCTTTACAGCTTAAATGTGTTACTACACGGAAAGCAATGCCTGGCACAGACTTAAGAGTCAACAAAGTTCAGCTACCTTCACAGAGCTCCTCCCTGCCCAGGAGCTCTTAGATTTTATCTTATTTTTTAAGTGTTTTTTTTTTAATTTTTTTAAGGTTTATTCATTTTTCAGAGAGGGGGAGAGCATGGGGGGGCGGGTAGGGACGGGGCGCAGAGAGAGAAGGAGACACGGAATCCCAAGCAGGCTCCAGGCTCCGAGCTGTCAGCACAGAGCCCGACACAGGGCTTGAACTCACAGACCATGAGATCATGACCCGAGCTGAAGTCGGATGCTTAACCGACTGAGCCACATAGGTGTCCCTAAAACTTTATTTTTTTTTTAGTCATCTCTACACCCAGCATGGGGCTTGAACTCGTGACCCCGAGATCAAGAGTCGCATGCTCTTCCTACTGAGCCAGCCAGGTTCCCCTCTTATTTTTTTAGCTTAATTGCTGTTGTTAATTTCAAAAGTCATGCATACTTGAAAAAGTTAACCTTAAATTAAAACTTAAATAGCACAGCACCAGAGATATTATTAAAACTTACACATCAAAATGTCCGAGGTAAGAAAGTCCATGTGTCCTCCCCGTCCTCCCCTTTTCCCTCTTGCTTCTAGCGGTTTCGTGTCTTCCCTCCATACTTTGTTCTGTGCGCCTTCACACACTGGCGTGTATTCCAGATGTGTTCTCGTTTTATATCTGTTTCACCTTGCCCTCTGCTAAGGCTGGTGCGGCCTCTTTCTCCAGCCACATCACCTCTGTTCCACGATATCTATCCACACCCTTGAGGCAAAAAGTCCCCACACAGGTGCCACTGACTTAACTCTGAGAGTGGTTCCTTTACAGGCAGAAATTGGGGGCTAGACAAGCCATGTCCGAGAAATGCAGAAAGGACTGGGGTTTCAGTGCCTATAGAGTACTTCCGGCTGGCAGTGAGAAGCGTTCTAAAGCTCATTATTAATTCAGCAGCTCCTTGACTTGACCGGAGGCAAGAAGAGGGAAGTCACACTTACCAGAAAGCTTAAAACCCCTAGTGATAAATCAACCCATCCCCTCTTGTTTCTTTTTAGTTTCAATGCTAGGTATAGCCAGCTTTCTGTTATTCACAGGGCCATGGGAGAGTTTATAGATTATTTCTCACACACAAAAAAAATACCACCCACTTTTGCGTCTAGTGAGAAATAACAAGGTAGAAGACCTACTGCTATCATTTGTAGCCTGCTCTTTTACCCCAGGGTGGCGACCCCGAGAGCATGTGACCCCAGGGTGAGGGCAAAGCCACCCAGAGCTTTACATGTTCTGTGGGCCAGTCCTTGTGGTACATAGACCCCAACTCTGGCCTCCCCATCATGCATGGATTTTGCAGTGGGGTGGCCCACGTACTCTCTACCTGGGACCCGTTGGGCAGCACCTGTTGTTAGTTTCATGGTCTAGAACCCTAGGGATTTAAACTTCTGTTCGTGGTGTGCAGATAGGAGTATGTCCCATGAGAAAGTGGTCTAGCTGCAGAGGCAGTGAGTCTGCAGACTTCTTCCCTCCCCTCTAGCCCATCAGGAGGGATTTCTGACCAGGGGGTCCAGGCCTGAGCTGGCAGGCACAGCCAGTCCCAAGCCTCCTTCCTGGCCACCACTTCTTTGCCCTGGGGGATGGAGGTAGGGGGTTGACAAGCTGCCTGAGCACTCTAGCAACCTCCTGTCTTAGCATTTTGGAATCCCCAGCACCTCATACAGGGCCTTCCCCGGGCGTACAGGTGGCAGTCGGTAAATTCATACCAAATAGAAATATACAGAATGAAAGCGCTGATATATTGAGGCATCTACATCCAAATCCACATCGATCAGGCCGCACTTATCCCAAACTGGCTGTTCCTTTAACTCACCTGTCCTTACCCTCCTGGCGTGTGTCTGTGTGTCCGAGGGAGTCTTCCTCTTGTCCAGGAATACGGAAGAGAACAAGAACAAAAAGTAGGCTTGGCCCTAACGGAGGGAGCAGACAGGAAGGGACAACTGAATCCTGTTGGTGGATTTGGACAGGACCAGATGGAATTTCTGTTTGAAGCGGTATTTGCAAATTATGTGCACATCTGTCCCACCTTCCACTTCCCTGCTTCCTTCCACATCTTCGGTTTGGCCTCTGCAGATTACGCTTTGTACAGTTGAGCCTTGAACAACACGGATTGAACTACACGGCTCCACTTAGTTGTGGATTTTTTCCAGTAAAGACAGTATACTACTGTAAATGTATTTTCTCTTCCTCATGGTTTTCTTTTCTCTCTTTTTTTTCTAAGTTTATTTACTTTTGAGAGAAAGAGAGAAAGAGAGACAGACAGAGGCGTGTGCAGGGGTGGGGCAGAGAGAGGGATACACAGAATCTGAAGCTCCAGGCTCCGAGCTGCCAGCACAGAGCCCAATGCGGGCTTGAACTCACAGACGGCGAGATCGTGACCTGAGCTGAAGTCAGATGCTTAACCGACTGAACTACCCAGGCGCCCCCTCATGGTTTTCTTAATACCATCTTCTCTTCTCTAGTTTCCTTTATTATAAGAATACAGCCTTTAATACATACACAAAATATGTGTTAATCGACTGTTTATCGAGAAGGCTTCCGTTCGACAGTAGGCTATCAGTACTTAGGTTTTGGGAAAGTCCAAAGTTATATGTGGGATGTTGACTGCGTGAGGGCCGGATCCCCTAACCTCCGTGTTGTTGCAGGGTCCCCCGTGCTTCCCGAGAAGCACATCCAGTAGAGGATGAGGCCAGTGGGTGAGCAGGACTTGGGATTATAGCTCTGATGTTGTGGTGTCCACCCCCTGCCCGTATGCCATTAGCTGGTGTGGGATCAGGACGGGGCTGTGTTCCTGTCCTACTACGAGCACCTGCCACAATGCCTAGAATTCTGGAAACTCCTGGTAGGTTAGGAATTGAAGGCACTCATCAGCCAGGTTTCCCTCTTCCTGTGGAGCATCCACAGGCCAAAATGAAACCATTCCAAAGTGGGTTTGGACCTTAGCTCTGACTTCCCCGGAGCCCAGCCTCCCACTTGTTCCCATAGTATTTGAGGGTCACCTGTATTAAATTCTGACTAACACAAGGCTTCCGGAACAACTCCAGAGCCACGAAGAGTCCGTTAAACATCCACAGGGGGCAGCTCAGGAGAGCAGCTAGAAGGTGTCCCAGCGTTCGGGTGGTGGAGACTGATGCACAACAGGCACCTATCTGGTGGGCAGGACGCGCATGTCGTGTGTCGCCTGTCGCGCGGGGTCAGGGGGTGGCGGGTCAGCTGATGCCCTCTTCTCTCCCCCTTTTCCCAGGGCTGTGTCCGTGTCCTCCATGTCCGAATTCCAGCGTCTGATGGATGTCTCTCCCTTCCTGCCGGAGAAGGGCCTGCCGGCTGCTGGCAGCAAGGAGGATGTCACCCCACCCCTCTCTCCTGACGACCTGAAGTACATCGAGGAGTTCAACAGCAAGAGCTGGGACGAGAGGCCCCCGGAGCCCTGGGCAGACAGGACCGAGGGGGGGCGGGCAGGGGACGAGGCCGGCGCCGAGTCTTTTCCCGACTCCTCCTGGTACCTCACCACAAGCGTCACCATGACCACAGACACCATGACCAGCCCCGAGCACTGCCGGAAGCAGCCTCTGAGGAGCCACGTGTGCACCGAGCAGGCCGGGCTGCGGGTGCTGCATAGCCCACCCGCGGTCCGGAGGATGGACAGCATCGCGGTGGCAGGCGGCGAGGGCAAGGGCCACTCGGAGCCCGAGTGCCCGTTTCCCACAAGCAGAGCCAGGGGGGGCACTGGAGACTCAAAGGGGGGGCCCTCAGAACATGTGCTTAGCAGGTGGCCTTGCGCCCCCTCCAGACACCCCCGAGACTACGTGGAGGGAGGGCTGCGCCCCCTCGAGAGTGCCCTCTGCGCCCCCCTGGGTTTTGCGTCCCCCCTGCACGGCCTACAGATGTCCAAGAACATGAGTGATGACATGAAGGAGGTGGCCTTCTCCGTCAGGAACGCCATATGCTCTGGTCCCCCCAAGCCTCCTCTCAAGGACATGGCCTGCCAGACCAACGGGTCCCGGACGACAGGGACACAGACCGTCCAGACCATCAACATCGGCCTGCAGACCGAAGCCCTGCGTGGCAGCACCATCACCAGCAGCCCCCACAAGTGTCTCACGCCAAAGGCGGGGGGTGGTGCCACGCCCGCGTCGTCTCCTTCCCGCGGCCTTAGGAGCAGGCAGGTGGCCCCTGCCATCGAGAAGGTGCAGGCCAAGTTCGAACGCACATGCTGTTCCCCCAAGTACGGGTCTCCCAAGCTGCAGAGGAAGCCCCTCCCCAAAGCTGAGCAGCCAAATAGCAGGACCTCCCTGGGGATGGCCCAGAAAGGGTGCAGCGGGTCAGCCTGGGCCCGCTCCACCACCACAAGGGAGAGCCCCGTGCACACCGCCATCAACGATGGCCTCTCCAGCCTCTTCAACATCATCGACCACAGCCCCGTGGTGCAGGACCCCTTCCAGAAGGGGACGCGGGCCGGCAGTCGGTCTCGCTCAGCAGAACCTCGGCCAGAGCTGGGCCCAGGCCAGGACACCGGCCCCGATTCCCGGGGACGGTCCCCGAGCCCCATCGGGGCTGGCTCAGAGACGTGGAGGGAGGACGGGGGAGAGGGCACGCCCTTGAGGCAGGACTTATCCGCTCCCCCTGGCTACACACTCACCGAGAACGTAGCCCGGATCCTCCACAAGAAGCTGTTGGAGCATGCCTTAAAAGAGGAGAGGAGACAGGCCCCCCACGGGCCCCCAGGTCTTAACAGTGACAGCCACATGGGAGACACGGTCAAAGCTGAACCAGGGTCCATCGAGGTAATGAGGCTGAGTATTCCAACCCTCACCCTACTAGCTCTTCTGTTTAAATGTCAGGAAAACACATGTAAACCGGGGATTGTGCTAGGTCATCTGACTTCAAGAATCTTTGTCCATAACAGGCTCTTGTGAGCTCGCAAGATACAGAGTTTATGGGAGACTGGAATAGGCAGAAACACAGGCCCCAAGCCACTTTAAAGAAAAGTTCGTATTATTATCCTCAGCAATCTTCTGAGGACAGTAAAATGAACTTCTCTTAAAGACAGCTCAGGGTTTGATTCAGGTTCTCTCGCCTGGTCTAAGTGATGGATGCTCATCTGTCCATCTGGGCTTTTCACGGGGTGGAGCTGGGGGGGGTTATAATTCGCCCTCTTTCTCTGTGAATTTGTGTCCTAGAAATGTGTGTGTGTGAAGTGTGTGCTCCGTCCAGATCTTTAGCCACGGTAACACAAGAGGTGTGCCAGAGCGGGTGTGGTGGCGTGGATGCTAGAACGTCCTTCAGCAGGAACGTATGAGAATGTCTGGGTTCCAGTGCTGGCTTCAGTACAGAATAGCAGTCCTCTGTGCCCCCCCAAATTCCATACCCTCTGCAACCATGAATCTCCCTAGCAGTAACCAGGTGAGACAGACAGATATGATCAAAATCCTGTCTTCAGACAATGTGATTGTTACTATTCCCCTCTGCCTCACTTATTATCGTCATGTTATATATGACCACACATATTGTCAGCTGTAACTATTACGCGATTATTATTACATCTCCCTTAACACTCACCAATCAGTCGACCTTGAATTTTGTTCTTTTTTAAAACATTTTTTTAACGTTTATTTATTTTTGAGAGAGAC